CTTTTCAAGTTTCAATGTGGGACAATCCATTTCAAGGAAACCTGCATTTTACTTCTTTAATTATCCATTCCACGAACCTGAAAATGACGTCAATTTCTCGTTCACTCATAAATGGTTTTGACGAACTGTCTTCACCGTGTGACTTGCCATACGGCAAGGAACGCGTCACCTCTTTGGACTATGTTGAGTACTTTAGTGTCACGTTTGTAAGCATGTGTGGGTATGTGGGCACATAGTTACGTGTTAATTTGTGAAATATGTGGTGAGGTAATTTTCCTTGTAACGTCTTGTATTATGCATGATGAATAATACATGTAAGAAATCTGAATGTGAATTTTTAGGAGACTACTTGTTGATTGTCACAATGAGTCGAATAATGCAACTAACACGACCTCGGGTTGTGGTTGTGATTTCACGTGCCTATTTTATGTTGTCCCATTCATGTTCGTAGTGTGTTGTACATCAATATTCACGTGGCACATTCTCGTTTATATTTTCACATTATTCAATGAATTAGTATATCTCCCATTATTCACGTTTAGGTTGAGTACTTGAGTGTCACATTTGTAAACGTGTGTGGGTAACTATGTACCCACATTTCCACACACGCATACAAATTACCCACACACGCTTACAAATGTGACACTAAAGTACTTAACGTAAACATGAATAATGTTACACATACCGATTCATTAAATAATGTGAAAATATAAACGAGAATGTGCCACATGAATATTGATGAACCCACTACGAACACGAATGTGATAACATAAAATGGTGACATGAAACCACAACCACAACCCCAAATCGTGTTAGTTGCATTATTCGATTCACTGTGACAATGAACAAACAGTCTCCCAAAAATTCACATTCAAATTCAGAAATCTTAAAGTACACAAAACAAGGATGTAGCACCAGCCACGTTCGACAACTTTCCTAAAACCCTCCAACAACGTGATATGTTGAATGATACAATAACTTATATATGGAGACAAATTAGGGGGTATAATAGTAAACAAATACCATTCATTCACAATTCATAAGACCTTTGGGAACACATTTTTATCTAAATAGGGCTTGAAATTCTATAAAAAAAAATTTCACAAAATTTCACATTAAATAAATTCTCATAATAGGACTTATAAATAATTTTTCCTTTCTTCTTTTACGAAAAATAGACAATGGTATTCCAATTATTTTACATTTTTAAATAGGAAAATGTTTAAAATATCATCTCTTGATAAATTTGCTCCATTGATGTAAACTGTTACTAGCGGACGGGTTAAATAAAAAATAAAAAATAATTTCCAAATTAAATAATAATATAAAATTTATTTTAAAAGGATAGAAAAATAACTTAGAATAAATTAAATTTTAACCAATGTATTAGAATATATATTGCAGCTATTATGTCATTAATTGTATATTTTAAGTTTACAATAAGAAATAAATGTCATAATTTAATTAGTAAATATGAAAAAAATAGAATAAATTTAAAAAATTATATTTATGATAAAATAAAAATAATTTGATTTTATAATTTTTTTAGTTTTATTTTATTATATGTTAAAGTTTGTCATAAAACTAAAACTTAAATATACCTTTTAAAAATAAAACAATATATATTGATAAAATCACTAAAATCAGTTAAAAGACTAACCAACTTATACAGGAATTAATTAATTAAAACTTTTAAAATTTATTTTATTTTAAAATTTAAACTGTTTTTAACTGCAATATGAACAACATTACAATATTAAATGGAAGGGTATATTTATTTTATATAATTGAAATAACTCACTTTTTCATTCTCTTCCCGATATGGGATTGTGTAAAATAAAAATTAACAATTGTTCAAATTAAAAGTTTATTTCGAATCAAACAATATCAGTCATTTAATTTTTAATTAGGTCAATCTTTAGTTTTTTTCGAATCAAACAAATCTAACCAATATATTTTGATAAAAGCGCTAAGATCATGGTTAAATCAACAAATTAGTCCAAACAAAAAACAATTCAACCTAATCGGTTAGGTTAAAAGATCAATCAACTTATACAAAAATTAATTAATTAAAACTTCTAAATTTTATTTTAATTTTAAAATTTAAACTATCTTGAATTGAAGCATGTATAATATTACAATATTAAATAGAAGCGTAAAGTTTATTTTATATAAGTGAAATGGTTCACTTTTTCATCTTTTCCTGATGTGGGATTGTAAAATAAAGATTAACAATTGTTTGGGTGAAAAGTTTGTTTCTAATCAAGTAATTAGTCGTTCAATCTTTAATTAGGTCAATTTTTAGTCTATTTCCAATCAAACAAATCTAACTAATATATTTTGATAAAATCGCTAAAATCGCGGTTAAACCAGTGAATCAATCAAATCGAAAATGATTCAGCCTAATTGGTTAGGTTAAAAGACCAACCAACTTACACAAAGATTAATTAATTAAAACTTTCAAATTTTATTTTAAAATTTAAACAGTCTTGAATTGAAATATGGACAACACCCCAATAATAAATGGGAGTAGAAAATTCATTTTATGTAAGTGAAACAACTCATTTTTTCCTTATTCTCCCGATGTGAGATTATAAAATAAATTATATCATAGACTAATTAGAATTTTTATTTTAAAATTTAAATTGTCTTGAACTAAACTATGCACAACATTACAATATTAAATGGGAATATAAGATTTACTTTATATAAGTCAAATAATTCACTTTTTCTTTCCTCTCTCGATGTGAGATTATAAAATAAATCATAAACTAATTATATTTTTATTTTATATGGTTAAATGAAAGCTAACCAATGAATGTTTTTTAATTTTTTTAAAATTAAAAAAATCAGTATAAGAATTTACGGTTAAACCGGCGAATCAGTTAAACCGAAAACGATTCAGCATAATCGGTTAAATCAAATGACAACCAACTTATACAAAATTAATTAATTAAAATTTTTTAATATTTTTTTAATTTTTTTTAAAATTTAAACTGTCTTGAATTGAAGAATACAAAATACTATATTAAAGTTAACTTTATATAAGTGAAACTACTTATTTATTTCTCTTCTTTTTTCGATATGGGATTATAAAATAAAAGTTAACAATTATTTAGGCAAATGTTTATTTCTAATCAGGCAATCTTAGTTGTTCAATCTTTAATCAAATCAATTTTTAGTTTATTTCGAACCAAACAAATCTAATCACTATATTTTGAAAAAATACTAAAATCTCAATTAAACCAACGAATCATCCAAATCAAAAATGATTCACCTTAATCAGCTAGGTCAAAAAATCAACCAACTTGCATAAAAATTAATTAATTAAAATTTTTAAATTTATTTTTAAATTTAAATTATATTGAATTAAGACATACACAACACTACAATATTAAATTAAAGTATAAGATTAACTTTATATAGTAAAACATCTCACTTTTTTCTTCTTCTCCCGATGTGAGATTATCGAATAAATCATAAACTAATTAGAATTTTATTTTTATATGGTTAAATGGAAGCTAATCAATGAAAAAAAATTTAATTGTTTAAAATTAAGAAAATCAAAAAAATTAGTATGAGATATTCAAACTATCGCAAGGCTCCTTATGTTAAATGTTAATTTATTTAAAAATTAATTAATTATAATCAAATCCCATGCCACGTCAATAAATTTAGATGGGATATTTTAACCATATCTGGCATTACTTTTTCTAGATATTATCTATATTCGAGATTATGTTTTTAAAGGAAATAACTATTCGGTGAAAAATAGGTCACATATAATAACAAATCAGTGGGAATATTGCCAGTGCACGGCTGAAGTTGCAAAAAAAATAAAAATAAAAATAATAATAATAATCGTCTCACTTTTTGTTTGGTTTAATTTTAGAATCATGATTTAAGTATAAAATTATATTTTAAAAGATGAGTTTTTGAAATAAATTTCGAAAAGAGAAAATTTATTTGATTATGAATTTTGAAAAGAACTTTAAGTTGTATTTTGAAATTATTTTGGATTTATTTTTTTAAAATATTTTAAAATTTTCTTAATTTTATTTTTTTAGGATAAATATTTTAATTGTAAATATTTATTTATTTTTTTAATGTGCAATGTATTTTTTTAAGAAAAAATTAGTAAAATATCCCTCTCCAACTTTGTGTAGTAGAAGAGGTCCAAGATATTTTTTATTAGCGAAGGCCCCTCGATGAAATTTCTCTGGATCATACTAGAAAAATTTTGAAAATTCTCCGTAAAAATTAAAATTTCTCTGTGTTGGGGCTAAAATTTCTCTGAGTTGAGTGAAATTTCTTTGAGTCAAATTTTTCCTGTGAAAATGTTAAGGAGACCTTAACTAATATAAAAATATTATATGTCATTTATCTTATAAAATATTAATATCATGGATCTTAAAAAAATTCTCTTTTTTAAAATATTTTAAATATTTAGAAATTTAAAAAAAATAATTTTTTATTTTAAATATATAATTTTTATAATAAATTTTTTCTTATTTTTTTAATTTCAAGTATTTTATTTTTCAAATATTTTTTATTTTTTTAAGTTTTAATTTTTAAAATTTAAAAAATTTGTATGTCGTCCATATATATTTAATTCATAACAAATTATTTAGCCAATACTTAAAAAAGTAAGAAAATATTTTTAAAAAAAAATTGAAAAGAAAAAAAATATTTTTCTCCAAAAACATATTCTCTGAAAAAAATACTTTTTTCAAAAAAAAACAAAAAATAAATTTAATGAACAAAATAAAAAAAATTGGTTTTTAAAATAGTGTTTTGAATTTTGAAAAGAATTTTGAATTAAGTGTTTAATTATGAATTTTGAAATTTTTTTATTGCAATCATAATTCTAAAATTAAACTAAACGCTACCTTAATTTTTTTATTTTTTTTTTATAATTTGGTAATACCATCCGAGCACTGGGACAAATTAACATAAATATGTAATACTATAAATCTAAAAAAAAAATTAGATTCATTTTATACCTGTTGAATCACACATTTTTATTTAAAATCAACCCCACTTTGTTATTCTGGGTAAAATTACAAGAAATTGTTTAAGCGTCCACACATTTTCAATCCTAGGAGCAACCAAACTTCCCAAATTATCATCAAAGCAAGCCATGTAATTTCTTGTTGAAGTCATCAATATAAGAGGACTCCAAATCTTTGTTCAACAAGAACTCTCTCATCTTTCCATGGTTCTCCCTCACCTCCTTCCCAATCTCACTCTCTTCATCCATTACAACCCTCACTGCTCTACACACACTCTCCCTAGTAAACAATCCATCTTCTCCTTTCTCAACCTCCACTCCAACCTTCAAATTCCTACTCATCATCCTAGCATTAATAATCTGATTCCCAACATTTGGCAGCAGCACCAACTGACACGTGTTCACCAGCGCTTCGGGTAACGAACCCAACCCGCAATGGGTAATAAAGCAACCCACAGAAGAATGTTCTAGAATCAACTGTTGCTGGACCCAACGCCCATGTACTATCCCTCTTTGTTCGACTCGGGTCACAAACTTTTCGGGTAATGCAGCTTGCACCGAATCTGACCCAATTGGCGGCTTCAAAGCGGCCAAAAAGGGCAAACCCGAAAGCTCCAAACCCAAAACCAATTCCTGGAACTGGTTCATTTTTAAATTACACTCACTTCCAAATGCACAATAAGTAACAGAACGGGGCTCGAATTGGCCCAACCACGTAGCCCATTTTTCTTCCAAAGGTGAAGTAGGTGGCTCTGGAATAACAGGTCCGGAAAGCAAAACATGCTTTCCCAACTAGGATTCCAGGTAATCACAATAGGTCCTGCTATGTTTCATGAAAACTGTCATGAAAACTGTCATGAAAATCATCTGCACCGTTGGATCATGAGACACATACCTGATCTAACGGTGCAGATGATTTTCATGACAATTTTCATGAAAATTCTTCATGACACCTAGCATTTCCAATCACAATAAGGCCCTTCGATTTCCCGACAAGTCCTGAACCCTAACGCGTCGCATTGGCTTAAACTGACAAACTGTCGCTCGCAGAACCGCGAGTTGTTACCAAACTGCATAGCATGTCTGGCAGCAAAGGCCCGAGCCTCGTGCGGATTGAGGTTGATCGAATGGACCGGATACCCAGCAGGGAGTTGCATTAGGTCTTCATGGGTTAATTCTCTGCCTAGAAGTTGCCTTTCTGGGGTCAATGTGTAGCCAATTGTAGCAGGACGGATGATGCAGTAGTGAACCGACTTGATCCCTAATCGGCGAGCCAAAGCGGGCATCCAGTGAGTGAAATCGAAGAAAACAACGTCGACTTGGAGGGTTCGGAGGAGGTTTTCAATGTCGTGCTCGGTGTTGTCCATGGCAGTCATGAGGAGGGACTGGAGAGGGTATGGGACGTCTGAAGTGGTTTCGGAACCGGGAGGGAGGTTGGGGACGTGAGGGACGGTGATGGGGATGAAGGTGATGAGGTTTGGGTGGAGATTGAATGGCTGGAGCTTTAATTGTGTTTTGTTTGGGACTAAGAATGAGATTTTGAGACCTTTCTTGGCTAGTTTGTTGGAAAGGTGGAGGAAAGGTGTAAGGTGGCCAAGGGCGTGCTCGGTGTTGTCCACGGCAGTCATGAGGAGGGACTGGAGAGGGTATGGGACGTCTGAAGTGGTTTCAGAGCCGGGAGGGAGGTTGGGGACGTGAGGGACGGTGATGGGGATGAAGGTGATGAGGTTTGGGTGGAGATTGCATACTTGGAGCTTTGATTGTGTTTTGCTTGGGACTAAGAATGAGATTTTGTGACCTTTCTTGGCTAGTTTGTTGGAAAGGTGGAGGAAAGGTGTAAGGTGGCCAAGGGCAAACCAAGGGTACATTGCTATGTGGAAAGTTGGTGAGCCCATATTTGCACCCTGTTGACTCTCACCACAAGCTGGAAAAAACAAGGGAATTACACATCAATGGTTGTGGGAAAAAATATTTTACAAAAAAAAAAAATAATTATTAATAATTAAGATTATATTTTTTTCATTAATGTGTAATAATTTTTGAATCTCCTTAATGGTAATTTCTCCAAAAAAGAAAGGTGTTATATTTGTATTTGCAAAACTCATACTACAATCAGTTTAGGAACAAAAAATCTAAACACAAAAATGGTTGTGACAAAAAAAAGTAAAATGATTATAGTTTGGATATGACATTTTGTCTTATTAACTATTTTAATATATTTTATCTTTATTGACTACTTTAACCAAAAAAAACACCAATCCAACTTCCAAATACTATCAAGATTGGTAAAAATGTAATGCCAAAGCCACTATTAACATACATTGGAAGCCCGAAACAATAGGAACACAAAATTAAACACAGTCCAATACAAGAAATATTTTTGAAAAATTTATTAGTAGGGCTCACTTCTCAAAAAATTTATCCAATTTATTTGGTTTATGTGATCCTATACTTATTGAGAATGAAAAGCAATGACATAATTGTATAAAAATTAGGAACAGTAAGAAACAAATTCAATTGATCTTAAATGATGAGCATTCTATCCATTCACTTACTCTTTCAAGTGGTTCTTTAAATTGAGCTTCTAGCAATGCATGGAGCTTCAGACAAGTCTAAGTCTATATATGGAAAGTTGCTGAGCTGAAAAGAATTGTTGGCATTTAAATAAATGAAGAAGAGAGTGGAAGATGAGTAGAAAGAGAGATTGAGCAATTATTGCTACGAGACGTGGTTGTTGAGGTAGGATATGTTTTCTACCCTCACTTTCCAGCAGGTTGGAGAATGGTAGGTACCAAAAAAAAATTTGTTTTTATTTTTTATTGAAATAACAGAAATTTGAAAATAGGAAAATGATTTGCAAATATAAATTTTATATATATATATATAAATTTAAAAAAAAAAAATTGGTGTGTTTTATGTTATAAAAAAAAAAATTTAAATTAAGTTAAAAATTCCATCTAAGTTTTTTGTGTATCTTTTGTATTTTATATCTTCATAATTATTTGTTTCATTTATAGTTGTTGTAAAACCTATATGCTTAGTCCATGTCAAAGCCGATATACTCATTAAGATCTTTTGACTATTGGCCATAATTAAGTCTTTAAGATCATAAAAGAGAGGTTTTAGGCACCAGATAATACGCTAGGAGGGTCTTAGGTACCAACAACAATCTAAAATGACAATTAATTCTAATGATATAATATGCTTTGCAAAATACAAAAAATAATGTTAATAATAAATATGATCATAGTCTACATATTACTAAAGAATTTGCAAATATAAATAGTGTGTATTCTAGTTTAAATAATATTACTGATATTATGTGTTCTTGGTTTTCTAAATTAGATAAAAATCAAAAAATAAATCAAAATTATCTAGAGACTAAAGTTGAGTCTATAGAATCTAAAATAGACAATTTGGGTTCTATAATAAATATTGATTTAAATAAAGAAGCAGAAAACCAAATAAACAATTTGATGACAAAATTAGAAACTATATCCTTCATAAACAATGATGGAATGAATAGTCCAGCCATGCATTGCTATCCTTTATAGGTCTTTAAAAATTATATCTATCCACCATTGAAATACTTATGGTGCAATATTTAATCCAAAAGGTATAACATTCCAGTGGTAATGTCCTCTAGGCGTACTGAAAGTTGTCAATTTTTTTAACTCTTCAATCAATTGAATTTGCCAAAATCCACTCTTACAATCAAATTTGCTAAAGATTTTTGATCATTTGGTTAAGTTAATCAAAACATCTTTTCGTGAAATAAAATATCCATCAAATTCTAAATTTTCATTTAGCCGTTTATAGTTGACTACCATTCGGGCAATTCCTCTATTAATTTCAACATTGTTTCTTATCATAAAAGTTGGATTAAAGTGAGGGTTTCTAGTTTCTTCAATTAACTTTTTGTCTAAAAGTTCTTAAAGTTGAATATCAAATTCATCTATATCTTGTCTAGTACAGATCATTGGTCTTACTCTGATGATAACATTAGGGTCTTTTATTTTCAAATTACAATAACGTAGACTACGTTGCCATAATTTTAATTGATTTTCACTAAAATTTTCTTTCAGAATTTTATAAATCCAATATAATTTATCGATAATTTTGATGATAGGAGTTAAATCAAAAATTGTTTAAAACTTCAAAAATATCACTCTTAAATTTACTCCAGTAATGAGAACCATTACATGTTACTGATTTGTTTAAAAATCAATCAAAAAAGGATAAACTTAGAACTAATATTTTAAAGGTGTAAATTTACTAATCAAGCATTAGTGTCGAAGATGATCCAAATTTGTGTAGGATTTCATTCGAGCGC